TATCATTCAATAAATCATTTTGTATTGATTTCAATTGTATAAATGTTGCATATTTTACATAAAAAACAATAATCCATGCATAATAATAAACAAAATTCATATAAAATATTAATATTAATATTTTTAACATTGTAATTGTTGATATTTTATCAATATTATTTATTAATAATATTGAATATGATAAACAAATTGTAAAAAATAATAATATAATTAATATGAAAACTTGTAATGAATTTTTTCTACAATGATAAACATTTGTAAATAATTTATAACGAAATAATTGATTAAATTTTTGATAATTATTTATAATATAAAAAAAATGTAATATTAAATAAACATTCATATTATGTTGATAAAGTTGTTTTAAAACAATTAATAAAATTTTTGTACGTTTTACTTGCCAATCAATATTCATCATTGCTGTATATAATTGTTTTGTTATTGAACAATAAATAAATATTATATGCATTAAATGATTATAAATAATATTCATTATAATTTGCCATCGTTTTTTTGCATCAAATTGTATAATTACATTACTGTTTTATTACCAGAGAAAAAAAACAACAGAAAATTCAAGTTTATTCAAAATCAAAGTTCAAAATTCTAGTTTTCCTACCCGAAAAAGATGGCCATCCATCGTAAAAGATAATTATGTTGTTGTTGTTGTTGTTGATTGTCGTCCATTTTGTTATTTCATCAACTTGTTTGCTGTTGCTTGTTGCTTGTTTCGTTACGATTTGATATTTGATTCTGATCGAATGGCAAAATGAATTTTTTCCTTTTTTTCACATTTTCTTTCTTCGTAATAATCGTTTTTGTCATTCGATTATCTTGGTTGCCATCGGTTACCATTGAGTAATTAGTAAATTAATTCATTTTAATTACAATAAAAAAACATTGAAAAAAAACAACAAAAACAAAAAATTATTGATCTTTTGAAGGTGAAAATTTTATTTAATTATTCATTCATTCATTTTTGTAAATTGAAAATTGTTGAACAGAAGAAAAAAATACAGAATTTTTTACTATTCTTTACGAATAGTCAATTTCAAATGAAAATATGGTATATCTTCTTCCGAACTTGTTTCATTATCCGGTGAAAATAATGATGTTGATGATTGTTTTTCCGTAGTTTTCATTATCAATTCTTCTTCTTTCTTATTGTTGATATTAATAGGATCGATTTTATCCAATGATTCTATTGATTTTTTTTGTTTGATTAAAATTTTTGGTTGAAATTCTGGTGATTTAGGTAGTGGTGGTGGACCATCGATTTCATCATTAATTTTTATCAAATTTAAAGTCGGGGTTAATTTTTTCTCCATTTTCAAATATGGTTCTTTCATACCAATGTTGTTGTTATTTTCTAATGATTTTTTAAAAATGGTTGGCTGATTAGGTAAACTTTCATCAGCTGTTGTTGTTGTTGTTGTTATTGATGTTTTTGTTGTTGTTTTTGTTTTAGAATTCAATAGACGTTGTGTTTTTTGTTGTTGTTGTTGTTGTTGTTGTTTTTTATACCAAGATGTCCATAAAAATAATGAAAATAATATAATCAATAAAATTAAAACAACACTAATAAGTATAACAATAATACGTATTGTATTTTTTGATGATTTTCCCGATTCTTCAACATTATTATCATCATTATTAATAACATTTATATTATCATTACAATCAAAATAATTATAAAGTGTTTGATTTGTATTTTTAATCAAATTAATTTGATTAAATGTTTTCAATAATAATTTTAAATTCTTATTATTATTATTATTATGATTATAATATGCGAAATAATCTATATCTTGTAATTGATATAATTGATTATTTGAATGATCAATAAAATTCCATTGATAACTATCAAAAAAATGTATTAAAATTTTTTTCGTTAATAAATAACAAAATGATTCCTTATTAGATTCACATTGAATTTTACCAAGTTCATTATATTTTATCGTTTTTGATGTATCATATTGATTTTCAAACAATAATAATCGATATTGATTATCATTATCTTTATCATTATCTTTTTCAAAAATCAATAAACGATTATAATCAATATCGACTATAAATAATTTTTTCTTTAAAGACCAATAAATAGGATCCATTTTACTTAATATTAGATAATTATTTTCATTTAAAATATATGCTGTTATATTTTCATAATTTTCATTTTGTATTAGAAAAAAATAATTTGTTGATTGTGTAAACATCATTTGTATTTGTTCAATATGTTTTAATGGAAATATTTTCCGTGTATTTTTAATAAGAATTTTTTCACTTCGAATATTTTTATAATTCCATTTTATTATTTTATTATTCTTTTTGGTTTTTATTCGTGATAAACGATGTAGATATGAATCATCTGTAATCAACCATAATTGGCTATATTTTCGATGATAATTTATTGATAATATTTTGGATGAAAAACGATCATCCAGATATGTACAAATCTTATGATTATATTTAGGTAATGATAATGATGTTTGTGAACAAGAATTATTTATCATCATCATCATCATAGCCAGCATTATTGTTATTATGAAAATCATAATTGCCAGGTTTTTTTCTGATTCACTTGGTTCACAAATTTTAACACAAAACAAATCAAAATCTTTCGCTTACTTTATGATTAGCCATTTAAAAATAAGAAAAAAACAAAACAAATATAAAAATTAAATTAAAAATTTTAAATTAGATGATTGTTTTGATAAATAAAATTAAAAAAAATAGATGGCGACACGTGTTTCAGAAATTTGTAATTTTGGGATCTTGTAATTTTTTTTGAACTTATACTGACATCTGTTGTTCAAAGTTTGAATCATTTTTTTGTTTGTTTGAAAATTAAAAGAAATTAGAATTTATTTTTTAATTTTTTTTTTGGTTGGAAAAATAAATTTTGTAAAAAATCGATTGGTGATGTGTGTGTGTGTGTGTGTCAATTTTTGGTTTTAATGGTTATGCTTGTTGGAATAGTGTTGCTTGTAGCAGCAGTGGGAATAGTAGTGCTAGTACCGATTGTGTTAGTAGTCTTGGATCCTAATATTTTACCATCAATCTTTAATTTTGATTTAGAAATCATTTTATCAAATGGTTTTTTAGCTTTGTTCTTTTTTTTACGAATCATAATAAAAGTAATAACGGCAATAATAATAATAACCAATACAATTACACCGACTATTATAAAAATTAAAATATTTGATTTATATTTTTCACAAAAGAAAAAATCATTTAATGATTTTACTTGTAATGGATATTGTGGTTTTGTTATACTATCATTCATTTTAAAATCTAAAAATTCAACATCAGTTAATAAAACAAGATTATCTTTTGTCGATATCATTATTATTTTTCCATTTACAGTAAATGATAATGAAATTGATTTCAATAATGAATGTGTTAAATTTACATTATCCTTTGAACAATCATCCCATGGTATTCTTGAAATGAAATAATTTTTTTTATCATCTTTATTAATACAAATAAAATCATATTTAATATGATCCATTTTTGTAAATGGATCACCCATTAATTCATAACGTTTTTCTACAGCCGTATTATGTATTACAAAATGTTCTTGTCCGGAGCCCTTAGCTATTAATATATAAAGTGTATTATCACGAACTTTTATTTTATCTTTACCAATAGTATTTTGTAAATCAAAATCATGTACTTGATATTTCATTGTTCCATCAATAACGGCAAAAAAATATATTAATACATGTTTTGCTTCATATTCTGGTCTTGTCCAATATGTCAATACTAACCATGGTGTATTGACGGCTTTTTTTGCCATTTCACAATAATTTGGTTTCCAATCTGGTTGTATTTCTTCGAATGTATAACGATAACCATTTTCTAATTTTAATTTTTTAAAATCTTTATCTAAATATTTATCTAATGGTGGTGGATAAATAATAACTGCACATTTTTCTAATTGAAATAAATAATTATCGATTATTGATAAACCAAACATTTCATGATCTAAACCACATTCAATTAATTTATCATTGGGAAATTCTTTTGGAAACCATAAATCATTATCATTTGCTAATGTTATTGATCGAAATAATATTAATATTTTTATAACAATAATGATGGCTATATTGACGTAAGTTGACATTTTTTTTCTATGGTTCAAATATGGTTTTACAAAACAAAAAATTAACAATTTTTAAAAAAATAAATTCACAAACAAATTACAATATGGAAATTAATTTTACAGATTTTTATACAAGGGACAAAAAAAAATCATTGCAGAAAATTCTGTTTAAAGAATTTTCTTTCGATTAAATTATAATTTGTTTTTAATTACAAATTTTATTACAAAAAAAAATTACAAACGCCATCTAATGGCTTCGAATTGCATTGAATAAAATGATAATTATCTTTTTTTTTGAAAATTGCCCAACAAAAATCGAAATAGAGAGAAAATGTTGAATGAAATTATATTATAATTATTGAACATTATTAACACATTGGTATCTTGAATGATTGAATCATTGCATTGGTTGGATTTCAAGGATTTTTTTCTATCCTTGTTGTTCAATGATTCGCAAATAGCCGGTTGCACAATTTGTATGTAATTCGTTCAATTTTTTCTTGAGTCACATAGATGATAATGATAATTTTCAAGTTTTTAAAGATTTTTTTAATTTGTTTTTTTCTGAAATTTTGAACAAAAATTTTCCTCATCATTATCATTATTAGTTATTATGCTATGTGAGTATCATTCGGTTGTTCAATCAATCGATCAATCGATCAATCAATTCAATTATGATAATAAACATCAAATGAATGAATGAATGAATGAATGATTCATCACATAAAAATGATAATTAGTAACGATATCGATAATGTGTTGTGAATCCAAGTTTCAGCTTTAGTTTTTTCGTTTGTTTGTTTGGGTAGTGGTGATGTTTATATTTGCATCAGTCATCATCATCATTATTATTCAGGATGCAACAATCACCATCAAACAAACAAACAAAATGATAATGATCATAGCAGCAGCTGAAATTTCATAATTCGATGAAAAATATTCTGATAGTGGTGAGAGAACAGAAAAAAAGGCTTGAATTTTCGTTTTCGTTTGTCAAAAGTATTTGCGCTGTTTTCGTTGATTTTTAGTGATTTTTGATTTTTGATTCTTGACGATTGATTCCACTATTTTGCTATTGTTTATGATGGATCGATTCAAAAGATCAATTCTACAAATTTTATTATTATCATCAATGATGATGATGATACATTGCGTTGATGGACGATCCAACAATTTCGATGATTATAATGAAGAATCTAATGGTGATGATGATAATGATCATTTGTATTCAACCATCAATTGTAATGTAATTAATTATTTATTTTTGTTGTTACAAATTCGAGAAAATTTTTTCTTATTACCTTTATTGATTTTCATAGATTGGTGATAAATATGATTATGTAATGGCAACCCAGAGTAGATTATTCAATGATAACGATGATGAATATATACAGATTAAAACAAGAATAGAATTAAAATGTTTATTGAAAACAAATTGGCTGAATGAAACTGATAATCAATTAAGAAATGGACAAATATTTGAAGCAAATATTCGTCAAATACAACCGATTCGTATAAAAAATACATCACCATCAAAAAATAATAAAAATGGCCAACTACAGATGGCATCATTGTTTGCTACATTAAAAAATTTAAATGAAATAACCAATGCGACTGATAATAGCGGTGGTGGTGGTGGTGATAATGATCGTAAACAACCAAATCTAAAAGTTGGTGCTGTTAATGGTTTTTTCACTGATTTAGCAAAACGTTTTGGTGATTGGTTTATTGAATTGATGCAGAAATTTTTTCAATATTTACAAACAATAATGTTAAACAAAAATCGTCGAAAATCCGGATCAGTTCCGGTAAATTTTTATCAATGTAGTCAAAATAAAAATAATGAAAGTAAAATTACAACAAGAAAACCCGAATCAAGTCGAATTCGACGAAATACCGAACAATCATCATCATCATCAATGCCAATAGATTTGGAACAATTCGCTAGTGATTATAGTGAAATGTATCGTCATCCATTTCAATTTGTACAATTAATGGATGGATCAATACAGAATATTAAATTATCCGAATTGGATCAAGATCCAAATATAATACAATTTAAAAAATTTATAATCCGTTCATTTGGAACACAATTAGATGAACGTAAAAAACGTATTATTGAAATAGATGAATTAGGTACACATTATTGTCATTATCAAATGGAATTTGATGAACCCGATGTTAATAAAAAACCCGTACATTATTTAAATCAAAGATCAAAACGTCATTCATATGAAGATGATCATATTGTTTCAATAATGAGACAATTTAAAAGTGATGATATTATTGTTAAAAGTCGTAATAATCGATTGCCAAAATCTCGTTCATTTGATAATGATAATGTAAAATCCGAATCAGTTATGAATTTTATGGATTTTAATGTACAAGAAATACAACTTGTACGTAATAATATGGTTGTTGCTTCAGGTTTGAAATTGAAATTTTAAATTGAAAAAAATTAACTTATTTCTGAATATTTTTTTCTTGAATTTAAGGTGGATATTTTCAAGGTTTTATGCCAATATTAACACCGACAACACCAGCAAAAAATGATGATCGTTCAAAACGTTCAACAAAATTTGATAAACATGATTTAATCGATAAATATTTACGTAAACATTTGGATTTAAATATGCAATATTCAATGGTGGTTAGTATAACACATAAAAACATGACATATTTCTCATAGGTGTTTATTTGCCATAGGAAAAACCAAAAACAAACATTGTTTTGGTTTTCATTGAACCCAGGCAAACAGAGAAAAATACATTAATTTTGATTTGATTCCATATTCATTCATTCATTCATTTTTTCCTTTTTCTGTACTGTTTTTTTTTTGCTTACGATTGCTGAAATATTCTGGCAAATGTCTTGACATTGTTTGTTTGTTTGTTTGCTTGTGTCTGTACCGGATTTGGATGTGATGACGTTTTTTTTTTTGGTTGCAAACTGAAAATTAATGAATGAACTGCTGCTGCTGTTGTCGACATTTTCTCCCTTAACATCTAACCTGGCCGTGTTGTTGTTGCTGTTGCCCTACTCCTTATCTGACGTCGTCGTTGTTGTATTTGTTGGTAAACATTCATCATCATCTTATTCGGTGTTTTTTGTTTGTTTGTTTGCTGTGGCAAACAATTCCAGAGACTAAATAGTACAAACAATTCAAAACAACGGAAACAAAGAAATCGTCGTTCAATAATAGAATCAGGTAATAGAATCAGGGAAACTAAAAGAAGAAGAATATTATTGATCCAAATGAATATTGTGGAAAAGAAAGAGGACGCCATACTCCTTTGCTTTTTTTTCATTCATTTTAATGTTTGCTTCTTTCGTTTCGTTTCTTTCTTTCTTTCGGGTTAAAACAGATCCATCATCAATGGAAACACCACCACCAGCAGCAACAATAATTAATTATGTTGACAGAATTGTCAAACATTTTGGTTTGTTTGTTTTTTAATGATAATGTTTTTTGTTGTTGTTGTTGATGATTCTCACAATGAAAATTGTTTTTTTTCTTCTGTCTTTTTTTAAATCATTAAACATCCCATACACAAACATTTAGAAAATCTAGAACAACAACAACAACGAAAAAAACGTGAAACAAATAATGACAAAGAATCGACACAGAATTCAACATTAAATAATAATGTTGTTTGCCAGCAACGATCATCATCAACATCAACAAATTTAAAATGGCAACGAAGACAAAATGAAATGAATGAAGCGTATGATAATGAAATCGATACCGGTAAAGTTTTGATTGATAAAAATCACAATGATGATAATGGCGATGATGATGAAAAACTACTTGAATGTTATGAATATAAAAGTTTTGGTACAAATTTTATAAATGCAAATTTTAATCGTAGTATTATAACACGATTATCAAATAGTAAAAGAGATAATAATGATCAAACAACAAAAATAGAAGAATTTGAAACTAGATATAAAATTGCAGCAAGTTTGTTTGGTATTGATTTAATTGATGGCCAGATTAATTTATCAAAAAAATCAAATAATGATTCATGGCTGATATTGAATTTATTCGGTTCAACATATGAAAATCTAAATCTTTGTGAAATACGTAATAAAGATTATAGTCAATCCGGTATAATACCATTATTTGTTGAAGATATTTGGTTTAAAACAAATATTGCCATAAAAATTCATTATAAATTAAATTTAAAATTAGATATACCATTTTTAAATTGTAATAATCAACCAAAAAATAATGAAATCATAAAACGTGTTATAAATGATGAATTAGAATTGAAACAAAATGCTATGATGGAATTTGCTGTTGTTGCTGAAGCTAATTTTCTTGTAAGTTTTTTTTTACTTATAGAGAAATTTCATTAGTTTTTTCAATTTTTTTGTCATCCCTTCTTATAAATCACAAACAACAGATTGTTAATGCTAAAATGCGATTAAATGGTTCGTATGAAAAAGTCCTTAAAAAAATGTTTTGATTCAATGACCATTAAAATGGTCATTTCATTTTCATTTTCATTGCTCTTTTTTTCATTGTTGTTCAAAAACAAACATCAGGAAAATTTGATATGGATTCTATGGTCGATTTTACTGGCACTTGTTTATCGGCTAAAACATTTGTCAAACCAATGGATATTGTTAGTGATATTCAGTATGAGGTAAAACATTTTTTTGCTGGCTTGTGTTAAGGAATTTTCATTTTTCTTCTCCTTCTTTTTCTTCCTTTCTTAAAAGTTTTATCATCCTATATGTGGTGAATGGATGATGGATCATTGGAAACCAAAACCATTGTCCTGGAAATTGAATAAGGATTATCACCGATCATGGTCAACGCCAAATAATACATGTGTTTGATGATGATGAAGAATTTTTGTTTTTGTTTCTGTCTAACCGAAATACTCAATCAACAACAACAACAGCAACAACAACGACAGACATCTTATTTTCTTTTTCTTTTTTCCAAGTCTGAGTTTGTTATTTGTTGTTGTTGTTGTTTTTTAAGCCATAATAATAAAATGTCTTCAAAGGAAAACAACAACAATAATAACCCGGATCAAGAAAACAAGCAATCTAATCTCTCAATGTCTCTCTCTTTCAAAACACTTGATTTGATCGAAAAAAATTTTTATTTTTCAAAAAAATTGCCAAAAAAAAAATCGAATGAAATAAAATTTTTTATCAGAAATTTTTTCTTGGAAAAAAAATTTTCCGACAATAATCTTTATGGAAATTTTCTTTTGGTTGCAGCAGTTTTTGATTCAAATAGAACAGAAAATCATCAATGATTTGTTTCAATTATAAATATCTATAAGGGACGAACAAAGACAAAAAAAAATAGTAATTATAAAAAGAAATTTTTTTACTTATATAATTTTTGTTTTTTTTTTGCTTGTAAATTCAATTTTCTCGACTAAAGTTTAGTTTTTAGATAAAAAAATAGTCAATCGTTTTAATGTGGTACGCACACACAATAGAAAGATAATTTCCATTCCATTTCATTTCAGTGCGAATAAATAAATAAATAAAAAAGCTAAATTGAGAAAAAAAAGAAAAGAAGAAAATTAGAATAAAGACCGATTTTCACCCAGAAAAAACAAAGCGAAAAGCGAAACAAAGAAGAAGAAGAAAAAACTTTTCGTTAATGGTGTAATTTGTTATTATGCGTAAATTTTTTTCGTTTGCCTTGGTTTGTTTTTTGTTTCCCCATTCCCACACATTGGTTCCCAAATAAACTAAACCTAGTATATATAAAAAAAATGACTATATGAAATTGGATTGAATCGAATTGTTAGTGTAGTGAGAAAAAAATGGAATGAAAAAAAAGCAGAAACTAAATGTAAAGACCTTACCGGGAAATTGAAATCAGTGGCTGCCTGGTTATCATTTTAGTTTTGTTTGTCGCATTTTTCTCTTCTTTTTCTTCTTCATTCAAGTTGTAATAAAAGTGTGCGTAAATCCTTTTTGGACTTTCATTGGAAAATGAATGAATGAAAGGATTCACTCTTTGTAGTTTATTTTGTCAAATTATCATTATTGTTATTTTGGGTAGTTATCATTGTTTGCATACAAAAAACAATGATTCTATGTGTGTGTGTGAGTGTGAATTCTGCAAATTCTGTATTTCCAATTCTGCATTTTAATTCTCTTTTTAAAGTGTTTGTTTGTTTGTAGAATGTGTCACATATACCCGATTTTTTTGTGAATAAAAAACAAAACAACAAAAAACATATTTGAATTTCCGAGCATTTTCATTTTGGTGTTTTTTAATCCAACCAGAGAAAATGAGAGAGAGAGAGAGAGGGTGAGAAATTTGTCATTGCAAATTGAATTGCAAGATTGAAAAAGAAAAACAACAGCAGAAAATTTTGAAAAGTTTTCTTTCGAGAATTCTACATAGAAAAGAATGATGATGATGATTTTGATAAACCAGAAAAAAAGAAATGAGTTTGTCGAATAATAAAAATTGAAAATGAAAAGGAAAATTTTTTGGTTTGTTTGTTTGTTTTGATATTCAGAACACGTTGTTTTGATAAAGAGAAAAAATGAACGCATCCATAACACATCTATCCACTTAGCATATTGACGTGTACGTGTGTGTGTGTGCTTTATCAAATCGATTCAATTGATTCTAAACAAACAAAGAGAAAAGGAAAAAATCAAAGATGATGCTTTCCAAACATCTGAATACGGGATTTTTTTGTTTTTGTTTTTTTTTCGTTTTCGTTTTGGTTATTTGTTATTTGACTTTTGACAATTCAAATCATGAAACACTTGTAAAGAAAAATTTCTACAAGATGCTCGTTTGTTTTGGAAAATAATAAGGAAAAAAGTCTAGTTATTTTTCAAAGTGAGAGTTCAAAAAAATTTTCTAATTTAAATGTTATTAACTTTTTTTTCTTCTTCTTGAATTTTAACACTTAAGAATCTATGATGAGAGAAGAAAGACATTCCTTCATTCATTCATGAATCGATTGAATCGATCGATTCAAATGAAAAAAAAATCAATAAAAATGAATTTCAAAAATGGATAATGAGTGGATGAATGAGAAAAATGCAAGTATGATTGGTTGGTTTCCAAAAGAAAAAAAACAAAGAAAAAAAATTGTACACTTGAGAAAATCGGTTGAGTGATCCATCATCAGATCCAAAAAAAGAAAAAAAATAGAGTAAGTAAAATATCATCATCATCATCATCATTATCATCATCAACATAATCATTGGAGAATATTCTTTCTATCTGGTTGAATTCTATCAAATATCGCATACATCTTAAATGTGACAATTTTCTTCTTCTTTTTTCCCAGAATTTTTTTTCTCTCATGCTTAAGTCAAGCGATATACCACCACCACTACTGATAGATGGAAAAAAGTATCTATGAAGAGAGTGAGAGATTAAATGAAACTTTTTCATTCATTCATTCATTCACTATAAATGTGTCACATTTTGGGGAAAATGAAGATTGACCAAAAAACAGAGAAGTAGAAAAACTTAAAAGACTAACGACAACAAAAACAATTAAGCATTAATATTTATAAGAAGAATGTAGTGTTGGTAACAAAAAAAAATTGGAGAATCATGAATTTTTACAAGAAACAAACAAACAAACAGGAACAAAGATGAACGAAATATATCAACAACAACACTCCAAACCAACCAAATAGGAAAAAAAGCCAACGAAAAACAAAACAAAAGTGGAAATGCGAAATGGAAAAATATGCAAATTATGATTCTCTCTGTGTGTCGTCGTGTTGGTTTTGACCAATCCAATCCAATCCAAAACAAAACAAAACAGAAGAAAAAAAAATTGACTTTATTTTTTTTTTCTTCTTTTTTTCAATAAATTATTCATCATCATATGATGGCAATGATGATAGAATTGAATTCATTTAATGATTTTTTTCTTTTTGTTTGTAACATTGTTTTTCTGTATCAACAAAATAGGTTAGTCGCTGTTACCGTTACTGCTGCTACTGCTGTTGATGATGATCTGCTTGACATTGAATTCGGTTAAGTTTGAATTTTTCATTTATAGTTTATTTTAAACAAACGAAAAGAAAAAATAGCAGCGGAAAACAATCAAACACTTTTCGTGTAGCTTTTGCTAGAATTTAATCATTTTTTTTTTGTTTCTCTTCTTCTATTTAAATTAACGATATTCAATGAAAGAATCGTGAATAAACAAGATGAACGAAAGAGAGAGAGAGAGAGAGAGAGAGAGAGAGATTGAAAAATTCAATTAAAATCATCATCATTCATTCATTCACACGCGTTTTTTTTGTTGTTGTTGTCGTTGAATTGATGCTTGAAGCAAATCATTGATAGTAAATTATTTTTGTATATATAATAGTTAACGCTGATTTATAGAATTGTAATTTAGAAACTGATAACCAAAAAAAAAGTAAAGTAACCTAGAGGAAAGAAAAAAAAATACATTGTATATTAATGAAGTAAGGGAGAGAGAAGAGAGAAAATTGAATTTTCAATCAAGTTTTTCCATTTATCTTTTTGATGATAAAAATCTTCAGAATGAGATTTTTAGTCAGGTTTTGTAATTGATATTAACAGAATAATAATGATGATGATGATTTACACTCTCCCTGAACTTAACTTCTTTCCATAAGTAATCAAAATTCAATTTTGAAATGAAAACAGAATAGAGAACCACTTGACGATTATAGAAAAAGAGAGAGAGAGAGAGAGAGAGAGAGAGAGAGAGAGAGAGAATTCTTGATTGATTTTTGCTTTTCTTTGATTATCACCATCATCATCATCATTATTTTTTCATCCACACTGCCTGTTCTGGCAGTTGATGTTTGTTTCTGATAGTATTTACGAATTTGACGCCACTTGACAATCCACTAAACAACTAATAGCAGCAGCAGCAGCTGAACAAAATGTTTTAAAAGTGGATAATCGATCGATCGATATATTTAGATCAGTGAAAAAAGACGAAACAAAATCGAAAATGTAGATCCTGATACGATGATAAAATGTACAGAATCTTATTCTTATAGTGAAATAAGAATTGAAAGTAAATGAAAAAAAAGGAAAAAAAATCGATCATGATGTGTTGTGTGTGTATGGAAAATGTCAGTCAGTCAGTCAGTCAATCACTTGTCAATCACACAGTATTAGATTACAGAAAAATTTTTTTTTCAAATTTGAATTTTGAATTCTTATCCATCTTGTTTTTTCATTTGTGTGCGTGCATTATAGATTGGTTATTTTTATTTTTTTTTTTTTGATCGTAAAAAATTCCAATAAAACATCGTTAACACAAAAAACAATGGAATCATGGATCTTATTACCATCATTTATCGAAAAAACAAAACAAAATTACATAAAGAATATATATTGAATGCTGTTCTTTTACAAATAAAAATAATTGTAATGGAAACTTTTTTATTCTTAACATCTTCGTACTGGTAATAAAATTATTAATATTTTCTTTTTTGATGGCCTCCCCAAAAAAAAAAACAGAATGACAATATCGATTCTTATCTTTATTCCTCGGGTTTATTTTATTAGCCCTGAATGTCCATTTTTGATTTCTTTCTTTTTTTTGATTCGATTTTTGTTTTGGTTGTTGTTTGGACTATGAAAAAGAATCCATTTATGTTTATTATTATATTTGTAGGGAAAATATAATAAGAAAAAGAAAAAGAATACCAAGAATATCATAAATGGAAAAAAAAAGTTAGGAAAATTACATTTTCTAGTAAAACATTTCGAATGAAAATAGTCATTGATATTGATATTTTCAATGCAAGAATGTTGATCATCAACATCGTATTTAGGAACATTTTTATTGTATTTTGTTCATTTTGATTATATGCGTAGGTTGCTAGATATGAACGAAAAAAATGTATGATAAACAAAACAGAATCCCAAACAACAACAACGAAAAACCATTTTGTATTGCATAAATGAAATGAACGAATGAAAAGAAAAGAAAAAAAACGATTTTGAT